CGAGGAATAAAACACAAAATTTGAAGCCTGAACCGTTCCTGAGGCACTCTGGGGGATGGACTTTATTGGATAGAAGCTGTCTTTTACAATATTCCTCACAGAGGTCGAATACAGAAAAGAAAACCGCAACTAAACCTTCAACCTAAGCACTAAAACCTTCTATGGAATCGAATGATCGGACAGGTCGACCCCATAGTCTGAAAAGACAAGGTGGAGGGTGGAGTCATGGGGATCCATACCAGACCCACTGTAGGTAGTCCCTCCACCAGTTCCTACTTCGTGTTACCGTGTGAGCTCCTCCTAAGCACGAAGTTCAAGTTGATCGTATGATGAAACCCTGCATTCCCATCGCCCAGATGGGTTCTGTAGATTAAAAGAGAGCCCTTCTCTCGCAGCCCAAGAGCCAATGGAGAGTGCTCAACCCACTGCTTCGAAGCTGTATTCCTTACAGATTGTGAACTCACTCATGTGACAATGTAGAAACCTGGCATGGGACGTGCCAAAGCCGGCAAGTATGACCTCAAACGAAGGATCTTGTGTAGGTCTAGAGACCCTAGATGCAAACCTGATTTGGGCTCATGCCCTCTTTGGCCGCCTGTGCACCAGGGGCACACCACCTCCTACCATGAATTCACGTTCCGAACATGCACACTACTAGGTCCCTCAAAGCATTGGAAATGTGCAATCGCATTAAAGCATGCCGAGTGCTGCATGCCACATTGTTACACGCGGCCGTTCAACAGCCTCCGGAACTTGACGCCCTAAGGACCGCGCAGTCGCAAATTTGCGACACACTCCAAGTAGCCCAGGAAGGTGGGAAAGTGATGAGAAATATTGTCAATGAAGGTCCTTTTGCTGTATCCCAATTTTGTCAAATCAGAGGAGTGACCAGAAACATGGAAGCCTCTTATTGACAAGACCCCGAAAGGCCTGCCAAGTGTGTTGCAACCCGGTCTGCTGCGGGCTGCATCTGCCTATCTACTCCCCCCAAAACCTAATTTGAATCCCTGACTCCTTGAACCCAAGTACTCGCCACATCTGCGAAATCACGAATAGGCTCTTGAGTTGCATCAGTGCCTTCCCAGGCTTCTGGAAAGAGCCACTGGGCTTGTCTGAAACACAGACACCTCTCTCCTCTCCACGCGCAAAGCTAAACGTGAACCCGCCTTTCTCCTTCCACTGCAAACCAAACGAATGTAAGACATAATCCTTGTGCCACCCGCTAGAGGCTTAATCCCAGTCCCTACATCCTAGCTTGATTCACAGAAGCGTCTACATCTTCGCTACCGTGAGTGACTCAAACATCCGGGACCTCTGTATCAGCCTAAGCAACAAGTAGGCCTCAGAAGATGCTTCCTTGGGAAATGAAAAAGAAAATTAAAACTACAATATTATATAGAGTTATGCAGTTTGTTTTTTAGCGGTTATATAGGGATATGGGAAAAGAAAATGGAAACTACTATTGAGCCTTCTTCGCATGCTCTGGGTATTCCCCAATATGTTCCCTGCAGTTTCCATTGTCTTTTCCATTACCACCCCGATATAATCCTCATATAGTTTGCATTTTCTTTCCTAAGCTGCTATCTAGCTGAGAAGTCCTACCTTAACTGCATCCATCCCTGCTTACTCAGAACAGCTGCAATGAAGCCCATAAAGCAAATCTTTGATCTGGAGACAAGCCCAGCTTCGTTAATTCTGACTGTCGAAATCATGAAAAATGCGGCACGGCCTAAGATTTCAGGCCCGCAAAAAGATGGCCCATGAAGCTTGCACGGGCCCTGCTGGCAACATACGCATGCTGCGAGTTTTCAGCTGGCTTAAGAGAGTGGCTAATTCAGGCGCGGAGTTGCTTGGACTAGTGCCTACAGTGAAGGATTCGCAATCACTGCTAGAATACAATTAGGGCCTAGAGTCGCCCAGAGCATCGTAGTCTGCTTGAGGTGTAGTAGAAGTATGGCCATAAGAGTATGAGAATAGTTGTGGTACTTATTCAAGAACTCATATACAGGTCACGGCCGCATGGGCTGCATCAAGCTACAGTTCTGTAGCAGCCATCAGGGTCTAGTGGTGGCAGCGGCTGTAGCAAGAGTAGGAATGCGAAGCGCGGAAGGAATAAGAAAGAAGAATCATGTAACTCTACCGGATTTAGCCCGATGTTGTCTAAATCTGCGCTGCAGTGGGAGGTGCCAATAAGACGACTCAGGTAAGGATAGCAATAATCGTCCTCGAACTACGGACCAGAAAACATACGACCTCTGACATTGTCGAGTTCCAGTCTTCTTGCGTCTATATGCCGTTCAGGTACAGCTGCTTTTCATGCCAAAGGTCGTTTCCATTTGATTTTCCATCAGTGGGGGCTAACTCAACAACAGCGTCTGCAAAATGCTCAGATGATTTCCACTACTACTAACTACTGTTATTATTGTTATTGGTACTGTTATTGTTATTGTTACTACTGTTACTACTCTTATTACTACTGTTATTAACTACTGTTAACTACTGTTACTAAATGCTCAAGAGGTCCACTGGCATTCCTGGCCATCACACCACAGCTGCGTATGCCCATAATTGCAAGGGAACCAGTGCAAGATGAGCCTATGAATTCGCCGTTGGGCGGTTTAGGGCTTTAGATAGTTTAGAAACTCTGGACACGGCTCAGGGGTAATTCTGAGGCTTAGGACTTAGGATCTGGAATTTGGCTACGACTTGAGCTAAACTTTGTTGACGGATCTTCAGGGTCCCAATGCTGTACATCCCTGGAAGAAAGGGGACGCCAAAAAGGATCCAAAAACTACAATAATCCGTATGCTACGGTAAGGACCCCTAAAGATCTTGGGGTTGGAATTACCAATGCCCTCTTGTTCAGGGTAAGGGCAAGCGAGGGGTTCCTTAAAGGGCCTATCCTGTGTGGGGGCCCGGAATTACCAAAGCCCTCTTATTCAGGGTAAGGGCAAGCGAGGGGTTTCTTAAAGGGCCTATCCTGTGTGGGGGCCCTGCGGATCTACCTGAGCGATCGTCTTGAGACCACCCCACGGCATGGCTAGCCGAATTCCAAATTGAAGTTTCCAGAGCGTAGGGATCCTTTCTGGGTTTAGGGATTAGGGTTGTGGATTTTGGGGTTTAGGGTTTCGGGTTTAGACAAACGATTATACTGCCTTTCGGGTGTATTAGGGGACCCGTATTTTTGGAAACTACCAAGTGCTTCTCCATTTGAAAGTGCCAGGCGCACTTGCCGCACCTCAGCGATTTGTTGGAGGGTCTGGGACTGGAAGGCTGAGAAAGAAAGCCGTGCAAGTCTGCTACTTGGGCTACTACGAGGGTATAGTCCCCCCTTAAGTAGATAGAATATTGCTTTGGGTATAGTATAAGATCCCCATATACCCCATGTTCTATCTACTTAAGGGGAACTATAATCGGGGGTTTGCAAATCTGACAGACACCTCTAGAAGCTCCTTTAAAAGCCTGCATCAAACCTTGTAATGAATGGGTTTAGGGTTTAGTAGATGTGGTTGATTTCAGAAAATTAGTCTTAGCACTCTTGCTGTTTACGGGATGGTTTCCTTGTAAAGGGACGTTTGGCCACATGTGCCCCGCCTGATGTTAAGAGTGTAGGGCTTACCGTTTACAATTTACGGTTCCGGGTTTAGGGTTTAGGGGCTGTGCAGATCAACGATGGAGCCTGAACATGAACCTCTTGACTTAATCCCCAGCAGCTACTTCCCATGCATAATAACTCCTGCGAAAAAAAAAATTACTCAATCCACAAGAACCCCCCAAACCCGGAAGGCTACTCTTCAAAGGGGATGACAAGGTTTTGAAGGATGCCAATTAATTCATAAGCCATGATAGGGAATTTGGGGATCTCCTCCTTTTCATAGATTTTGCTGATGTCCTGAAGGCTTGTACATAGAACACGAAAAACAAAACTTCCACAAGAGCACCTACATGAAATTTGCTGAGAACTGGGGACCTCCTTGATTTCCTGGATTTGGCTTGATTTCGGTGCTTATTGCAGACGATATTCAGAAAGGAATTCCAAAGAAGTCTAAACACAATTGGGAGCACAATTGAGATCCCTTCTATTCCCTAGTTTCTCACGGGTTTTACAGCGTTGTGAAAGAAGCTGTATGGAAGAATCCACTGGAAATCTAAACTACAGTAGGGGGGCTTGTTCCACTATCACGCTTGTACTGAAACAATCTATTGGAAAATCTAATTCCAATTTAGGAGCCCTTTTGTTTCTTAGATTTGGGCTGCTGTTCGAGACATTTTCAGATACATGATCAGGAAATGATTGGCCTCATAATTTCGATTACAAATTAAGTAGGTCCCAGTATGAAGGGGCCACCAATATACACCAGTTCAAGCAAGCCCAAAATCAACCCAAACCCAGAGAACTTCGTCTCAAATACTGCCAGTGTAAAGGATGAATTCAGAACCAAGATTCTACACTCTTAGGGCTCCCCCGGTCCCAGGTTTTGCTAGAACCTATTTGACGTTCGCGGGCGCGCACTACTTTCTCCAAGCCTTAGGCATGCTTCTGGTTTGAGACCTTCTCGCGTAATCCCAGTATACTGCGAAAGATTATACTCTCAGTATTCACCACAGTCATTCCAAATTAGATTACTCTTCTTGCCACTACTATACTTTCTCCTACTAATCTACTCGTTTGCCAACTTGCATGAATGTTCTTGTATTGCTTTGGCGTCCCATCCTCTTACCATCTGGGTATCTTCCGAAGGTACAATGCGACACGCAATTCAGAAAAATGCAAAGTGCATGAGGTTGGAAACCGCAATCGGACTCCACACTTTGGGGGCACCCCCCGCTGCCCATATTATGATGGCTGAAGATTGTGGCTCGGGCGAAAGGACCCCATGGGTGCTTAGGCAATGAACTCTACACTCCCAATTCCTTTGAATATAAGGATCCCCTAAACATGAAACCTCCCCCCCCCCGACCCGTGCTTCGGCCAGAGTACCCTGGCAGCATGTCACATGTCATGCTGCTTGCAAGGCGTCGATGGCGACAGCTTCTTCGTTCTCGGAGTCAGTGGTTGCAACTGCCTGGCCTCGGAAAATGTATGGGTTTCTCAACATTAGGGGTCCCTTTAAAGAGCTTTATAGAGTCATATAAAGTTTATATAGGGTTGCGTAAGAGCTTAAACAAGGTTTCCCAAGACTAGAGGTCCTATCTTGGGGATGCCCATCAAAAGAGCTATGGTATTTTGGGGTGCATATTGAGGTCAACTACCATGTACGGCTTGAGCTGTCGGGACCCAGCGATCGGGACTCAGGGCCAGAAACTTAGGGGGTGCTAGGATCAAAGTCTGAAGAGTTAGGGTTTAGAGTTTAGGGTTCAGGGAGGTTGGAAACTTGAATTTGGGGTCGAGGAATTCAGGTGTGAAAGGTTTTCCGGCTTGAAGTAAAGGCATCCTCGGCTCCACAAACTGGCAGTCTCGGGCTGTGGGGCTTGAAGATTTTCATGTTCAGCATTTGAGGACTTGGGATTGCTCCTGAGTTTTGATTTCTTTCTGTACAGGGTCCTAATTCTAGGGTATGGGGTAAAGAAATCCCGTTAAAAGACGAAATAGAAAAGCGGAGGAGGGAGCTAACTCAGGAACGCACCAGCGGCGCGGAACAATGGAGCACCGAGCTTTGCAGCGAAAAACGGAGCAGCAATTCAGCGGACTCCACTAACGTACAATGAGCCGAATTGCCACCTCAAGCCGATGGCCCGTGCCGCCACATTGGCGTCCGGCTGCACAACCTGCAAATCCTTAAGTCATGAATGAACCCTTCCAGCAGCTGGACCTAGACAGGCACGGAAATAAGCGCACGGATTGCATGTCCCGGACAAATCCAGGCTGAGGCAGTCGGTACTTTCTTACAAGCCTTAGGAGGACCCCCCACCCTGTAATAATGGTATAATAGGAATAGAAGGTGACCCTAATATAATCCCTACTCTCCCCTATAGTCACTATTACTGGGTGGGGGTGTCCACCAAAAACAAGCCGAATGCTACTCCTGCTGTGTTAAGGTAACACGTTTAGGTTCAAGGCCTATTCCTGAAGATTGCTCACTGTCTGGCTTCAGGGCTCCGACTTTGGGGGCAAGGTAAAGCAAGCTGCGTCGAGCGCACCGATGGCTGGACTCTGGTATGGATGACCCCAAGCAGAACGAAATCGATGAGGTTGGACCAGGGTGGTGTATCAAAACCTCAAGAATCAACGAGAAATCCAGCAAGAGGGGATACCGTCAAGCTCCCAGCCCCAAAGCTCAAACCGAAAGCACGAACACTTCCAGATCCCTCAACACTTCACCGTGAAGGATACTCGGCGATGGCTACGAAGATGGAATTCCATCATCTTCCCATGTCCCTTGATTTCAACCAAAGGTCAAGCTTCAGGTAGGGTCATTTAAGTATGTGGCAATTCTGGGATCCCTACACCTCCGCAGAAAAATCCCAAAACATCTCCAGGAAGGCCCCGGCACAGTCTCTGTATGGTCTCTATAGCACCTAACACCCCCTATCTGACTCTCTCCTCACAGCAGGGTGTGAGCGCTAAGAAGCGCACGTAATGAGGACCGCTTCTGGGTCATGAAGTCCTTCAGGTTCAAGGGAGGTCAAAATAACCGTTGTCCGCATCGTGCAGGAAAGACTTACAGAAACTCTGGACAGAATTCTAGAGACACTACGCGCCAGAATTGTTGTACAGACGGCGGCAGTAAGGAGAATAATACTATGATTAACGACCAAAAAGAAAACTGGAATCAACCACAAAGCAAGAATACTCCCGGACCAGTGTCCTAGGAGCCGTACAGCACCTCTACTTCTCTACTGCTACTGCTGCCAATTCTGTGACGCTGACTCATGACTGCTACAAACACTGCTACTAACCTCAATCAAACCGTGTCCCAATGTCATGTAGGCCCGGCTTAGAACTCTGACAGGTGCAAAATACCAAGGAGTTCCACATTCCAGGAAGCGGGTGCGTGTAACCTGGGAAGACCTTAAACCCTAAACGCGAAACCAAACCCTAAGCAAGAGCCTATTGAGGAGGGCATAAGGCTATCTGCGACTCAAGAGAACCCACAGAGGCCGCAAAGCCGGGTCCCCAAACTACTTTAGATGTGCAGAAGCGCTAACCAAAGCCTCTAGTTAATCCGCTATTATCCATTCAAACCTTGTACTGCTGCTCTCAAGGTCTTCTTCCTGATAAAGCTACTTCCTCCAACTGCCCACAGAAGCACCTTTTAACCGCACGGTGAGACTGCCAACCCAAAACCCCGAAAAAACAAAAGCATCAAACGTGTAAACTTTCAGGCCGGAAAGTCCTGAATCCTCAAGCTTTGGATCTCAGGTCCCTCTCAAACCCTAGAGCTACACTCTAACTCCCAAATCCCAAAAAGCTCTAAAGCCTAAATCATAAACCTTCAGCTCCAAACCTACATGGGCCATAGTCTAACCTCCTGGCATCCCCCTTAACAACCCCTATAATGCTCCCCTATGTAGTCCTCCATGTAACCCCCCCTTCAAAAAGTTTAGACCCCAAACCCTAAACCCTAGTTAATTAGTAGCTTCCATTTTGTTATCCCCCCTTTAAGGAGCTCCGACTGAACCCTATATAATCCCTATACTCCCTACATAATCCCCATAATCCCTATATAATCCCTACATAACCCCCCCTTGAAAGAGGCTCCGACTATAGCTCACATCCTACCGCCAAGCCTCCAAGGTTGCCACGGAGCTCCGTGGCGAGGAGCGCACGGAGGTCCTTAGCCCCGCCCGGCGGCCTCCAAGCTTCTCCTGAGACGGTTTGGGGTTTAGGGTTTGGGGTTTAGGGTTTGGGGTTAAGGTTTAGGGTTTAGGGTTAAGGCTACGAGTTTAGGGTTAAGGGTTTAGAGTTTGGGGTTTAGGGTTTAGGGTCTAGGATTCAGGGTTCAGGGTTTAGGGATCTAACATGCTTCGAAGGAGAGTGTGGGACTTGGGGTAAATAGTTGATAAGGTTTCATCGTAGAGTGTAGGGTAGGGAGTTTGGGTAAATTGCGGTTTTGAAAATCGGATGGGGGCGTGCATGTCTGGAACAACAACAAGACGTGAGAACAAAAGCAGCTAGACTGCCCGGTCAAGATTTAAGAAATACTGCTGCTGGCAGTAAGTTAGAACGTCACACAGCAAATCGCAGTGATAGTGTAAAGTGCGTGAGGCTTACAGTGTAAGGAAGGATAATTCTTGCGATGGTGCATGCGCGAGCTCAAATGATGTAGGCCGTCATCGTCAGTGTAGCTTGGGTCGACTCCGCTAGCTAACTGCCGACAAGCACTGATTACCTAAAAAGGCACGGAAACTCTGAGAATAGCACACATGCATGCTGAAAAAATCAAAGCCTCATGGCTCTGAAAATCAAGAAGCGGCCACGCCAGGAACACAAACATCCGAACATATCCCGTTACTGTCATCCTTCAGCAGATAGCTTCTAAACATTAGGAAACCCCTCTAGCCAAATCCTTATTTATACGGCATCTACTTTGGAATACCAAGGGTACAAGGGTACGACCCCCAACTTTTCCAATCCTGAAACCCTAAATTCCGAAGTATAGTTGAAACCCCCAAAGCGGAAAAAATATAGTACAGCTTTAATGAAAAAAAGACGAATTGTAATCGTGTCTAAGGAGCCGCTATGTCGTCCACCAGTCGCTCCAAGTCATCAAAGCCTCATAGGAAACATCGGCATCCTTCTCTTCGGGAATTCGGGACCTCGCCTCATTAGGTGACGATAAATGGATCCTCGTTCAGGGCTAATAGCATTTTGGGGCTTGAAGGCACAAAAAAAACACTGAAAGACATCTACCTTTGGAGGACCCCCCCACCCTGTAATAGTGGTATAATAGGACTAGAAGAGGACCCTAATATGTCCCCCATTATCCCTTATAGTCACTATTACTGGGTGGGAGGTCCACCTAACATCTACCTAAAGGTGTAGAGGTGCCATGGAAAGGAATCGTGCTAAAGCCTGCTCTTGGTGTCCCCATGGGTCCTATCCCACTACGTGTTCCATTTTGTGCTCCCTTAGCTGGAAACTCGAAGTTAAGTTTATGCCAATCCCAAATGCTGTTTTTGCTTAAATTTGGGGTGCAGGATGTTGGACCTTCCGGATGGCAAGCCAAAACATCTGAGAATGCAAACATCGCATCGAAAAACATGGTGTGATGGTTATGTGGGATGGATAGTGTAATTTCGAGCAATACCTAGCAACCTCTTATTGATGCCCCACAGGAAACTTATCATCAAACTTCGTTAAGTCATTAAGTCAAAACCCTAAGCTCTATCGACAGGAGTTGCTCATTCAGCTAGTCCAGGGTCAGCACCACAAGTGCCGGTCACATGTCAGTGTATGATGAGAACAGGCACCAGCCCACTAACTTTCCTTACTGGCGGTAAGTAGGGAATAAGGAAAATAATCCCTACAGAACCCGTATATAATAGATTCCTTCCTACTAACCCCCGGTAGGACTTTCAGCAACTTTGCCAGCCCTGTGTTGACAGGATCATCTAATGAAATACACCGCCCAGTAGCGTTTGCCAGCCATCTTCTCGAAACGGCCAAAGTCTGTGTCCTACCGGATGTCAACGCACATGAGTTATAGTCGAAACTCTTAGTATCCCCTTAAAAACCCTAGAGTAGTCCCCCAGATCCGCCGACCTTGGGGGGCGTGTTGGATGGTTGCCGAAGGCGGAGAGGGGGAAAACCCTCTTC